AGACCCAAAATCTCACTGTATTACAACAAAAATCTGCATTTTAACAGTATTTATTTTACCTGCCCCTCATCTTTATTAATTATGACAGAACATATAATGCTGTGATGTTAATAGTTGTTTCCTCTTCTTATTCCTCTTCTTTCTTTATTTTTGAAGTTGTATTTGGAGTACTTCATGCAAGTTTGAGCTTATTTAATCATTTATTTTCACGTTACATCACCAGTCAGCCCCCTCCCCACAGGTGCCATAGATTATAAGTATATAGCACAAGCGCAATAAAACTTTAAGGATACTGCCTACATAGTACAAACAGTTCCTTTAAATCGATGGAGGTGCAGTATTCCACGTCTATAGTTCGGGTGTGTGTGAGGCGCACTCTGTTTATCATTTCTCATGAATTACAGAACAGTTACAATAACAGGCAATAAATTATGTCCGAGACTCTCCCCCTTCTCCCTCTCATACAATTTCACCTAAAAATGTATTTAAACTGGCTTCTAAAACTAAACTAAGTACATCAAATTGTCAAAAGTACAGTTATAACTAACACCGATTTATTTGCGGCGTGTCAATTGGAATTTTCTAGTAACTCCTGTTTGAGTCGTGTCTTACAAAATTCTTAAATGCAAAAGTAGCCAAGAAATCACAAATTAAACACTGGTGTCAGGAAACTACTGAAGTGAAAACTGTTCTACTACTACTACTACTACTACTACTACTACTACTACTACTACTACTACTACTACTACTACTACTACTACTACTACTACTACTACTACTACTACTACTACTACTACTACTACTACTACTACTACTACTACTACTACTACTACTACTACTACTACTACTACTACTACTACTACTACTACTACTACTACTACTACTACTACTACTACTACTACTACTACTACTACTACTACTACTACTACTACTACTACTACTACTACTACTACTACTACTACTACTACTACTACTACTACTACTACTACTACTACTACTACTACTACTACTACTACTACTACTACTACTACTACTACTACTACTACTACTACTACTACTACTACTACTACTACTACTACTACTACTACTACTACTACTACTACTACTACTACTACTACTACTACTACTACTACTACTACTACTACTACTACTACTACTACTACTACTACTACTACTACTACTACTACTACTACTACTACTACTACTACTACTACTACTACTACTACTACTACTACTACTACTACTACTACTACTACTACTACTACTACTACTACTACTACTACTTCTACTACTACTACTACTACTACTACTACTACTACTACTACTACTACTACTACTACTACTACTACTACTACTACTACTACTACTACTACTACTACTACTACTACTACTACTACTACTACTACTACTACTACTACTACTACTACTACTACTACTACTACTACTACTACTACTACTACTACTACTACTACTACTACTACTACTACTACTACTACTACTACTACTACTACTACTACTACTACTACTACTACTACTACTACTACTACTACTACTACTACTACTACTACTACTACTACTACTACTACTACTACTACTACTACTACTACTACTACTACTACTACTACTACTACTACTACTACTACTACTACTACTACTACTACTACTACTACTACTACTACTACTACTACTACTACTACTACTACTACTACTACTACTACTACTACTACTACTACTACTACTACTACTACTACTACTACTACTATTCAGTGTATTTCTGCCAAACACTGCAGAGTGGAGGGGTTTTCAGATCACACGTATATGAATGATGGTGTTTTGGTCAAATACAGACCACAGTTGTCATAGTTGTGTAACAGGAAAAGTAACCTGCTCATAGTAAATACTGCACTGCACTTGCACCGGGCATTAGGCTAGTTACAATTTAACATTCAGTTTCTGCACACCCTGAACCTTTTATTTCCCAGTAAAATGTATGTTTGATGGTTTTGGTGGTTAATGTTTGATGGTAGTATGGAAGTATATTATATTTATTCACCTCAACTAACTGTTTGTAGAAAACACTAGTGTTAAAAATATATATATTATGAAGGGGCATTGGAGATTTATTTTTGACTGTTTCCTGTTTGTCTGAAGTCTGGAAAAACTTTGATAAAACATAGTGTAATAAGAGCTATTGGACGCGCGTGTGACTGGTGCACATGTTAATAATAAAAAAGATTTATGTGCCGCTACTGTTACATTAAATAACAATCTAAATATAGTTTTTTGTTGTAATAAAAGAGGTTATTGGGTCTCGTCACTAATAGAAAGGATCAGGTTCAACATTTGTGAATTTTCCCTTTTATTCCATATATTTGTGGCAAGATACAATTGGAAAATGTCCTGAGAGCCTGAGTCTGGGGCTTTTCAGAACAGACTGTCAAATACCAGACCATGATATCTAAACAGAAGAAAGCATATCGGTCCAAAGTGGATAAATTAAAGCTTAATATTAAATATTTGCAGGTTCATCAGTAAGTTAAACTGAAAGTGAGATCAACAGAACTGCAGGAAGCAAAAGAGTCCTTACAGAAAGTAACTGATGGGAAAGGGAGCACAGAGACCAGTCCTTAAGAAACTGACCAGTCCTTAAGAAACTGACCAGTCCTTAAGACTGAGGAGCTGGAAGAACTTGTGCAAAAGTTATGAGACGACTGGCAGCAAATGTACAATAGCTTAGAAGATACTGTATGTTTCAATGAGAATACAACTCTAGAGAACAAGACTTTTAGAGGCACATTAAGGAATTAAATGCAAATATTAACCAACTTCCATCTGTGGTCACAGACAAGATAAAACATATTCTGAAATTGACCAAATTGAGTGAAGAGTTACGCAAAAACATTTCCAACAAGGAATATGGAATCAGTCTCTATATCAAGGAAAAATGAAAGGTCAAGACAGAACTGAACACAGAAGATACTAAGAACACCATGTTGAGCACTAAAATCTGAACCAGGAATGTCCCCATCAAAGACATGAAAGCAGAGCACAAACTGACCAATCTGTGAAAGGAAAACAAGATTGAAATATGGACAAAAAAATAAATAAATAAATAAATCTACAATTTCAACTTGACTTGTTCCAACCCACCCTGATGGAACAGAAAGACAAATACAAAATCTTGCAGCAGAAATGGAGTGATGGTCAGGTGGATTTAGAACAATGTAAAGCTACTTGAAGAACCCAGGAGTCCAAAAAGAAAAGATCTGATATGATCAAATATTAAATTAAAGGGACACACGGAAATGCCAGTTAATCAGAAAATTGAGCTCGTAAATGATGCTCTTTGTGGGATGTTAATGATGAAGCACTAGTGAAGAGAGAGAGGGCAGCTGAGAGCAACGAGCGACGAGAAGCATCAAAACCAATGATGCATTAATTGTCCATATCAACAGTATAAAACTTCAAGTCCCAAAAGCCCAGGGGAGACCAGTCCAGACCCCCAGGACTGGCAAAGACCCCCCACTGGGTGTAGAGCATCAAAGGGGAGAGTGAGGGGGGAGGAGGGACAGGGTCTGGAGATCTAAAGGAGATATTTTACACCAAAAATGTGTATCTAATGGTAATGCAGTAATGAATGAAACGGGATGTTTTCAACCCAAAACGGGCGGGAACAGGGAGTATCACCAAAAGTCCTTGTATGTTGTAAACACTGATACTTGTGGCCACCAGACGTGAGCTTGCAGTCTGAGCCTGAGGTCACAGTTAGAAGCATATCCCTGTGCTCAGTTTTACTGTAAATGTTCTAGAACACTGTGAAGCCAGTCTACTCACTGGTACTTGTTTTAGTTCCTGTAGAAGTGCAAAATGAAAGCAGAGTCACTGTGATGGAAGCACAACAAGCACTTTGACTGAGATTTTTTTGAGGGCACCACCTGCTTTTCTTACATTTATTTTTTAGTGCTACCTTAGAAAGCAAAAAACAAGTAATGACAGAATAAAATAAAGATGCTATACTGTGGAATATTCCAGGCAAAGCAACATCTTCATGGACATGGAGATGTTGCAGTATTTCTGTCTTGCAGTATTTCTCAGACATCAATCAAATTACTACACTCCAAAAAATGCCCCCCCAAAATTGAAAACACTATTTTCAGGATAGTATTTTCTGTACATTTTCTGTAAACAAAGCTATTATGTTTTGTTTACTGGTACCAGGCTGATTCGTGACAAGATGAATGTCCAGGATGTCTCTAAATATAATGAGTTTATTTAATACACTGGATCATAATCACTGGACATTTATTAGAAGCATTATTGCTGATGATGTACGCACGTGCTGTTTACTGTTACAGTCACAATGTGAGATGACAGTATAGCTCCGCCCACTGGCAAAGCTCCAGTCTGGAGGCTGCACGTATTCCGGAAAGTTCAAAGTAGTGAGAGGAGCTGCACAGTGTGCTGTCCACTGCAGAAAACTGTTCGGATTCTATTTTTGTCCAGATGCTGTAGCAGACTGTAACCTTTTCTTTAAGTAAATAAATCGTTAGACCATGAACATGTGGACTGTGTGCAGCTTCAGAGGTGACACCAGCGTGGCAGGTGCAGAGGTCAGCGTGGCAGGTGCAGAGGTCAGCGTGGCAGGTGCAGCAGGTCAGCGTGGCAGCGTGGCAGGTGCAGGTCAGCGTGGCAGGTGCAGCAGGTCAGCGTGGCAGGTGCAGAGGTCAGCGTGGCAGGTGCAGAGGTCAGCGTGGCAGGTGCAGTGGTCAGCGTGGCAGGTGCAGTCAGGTCAGCAGTGGCAGGTGCAGTGGTCAGTGTGGCAGGTGCAGCAGTGGTCAGCGTGGTGGCAGGTGCAGTGGTCAGTGTGGCAGGGTTGGTTGATTTTAATGACATCCTGTACTGTGCCAGACTTGCAGTTACTGTGTTACTGAGTCTAAAATGAAACAAAACTACAGATAAGGAAGTTCTATTTCTGATTAAAAATATTTTCATGTAACATTATGGCCCTTTTCAAGAAGGATCCAGAAGGTGTCCAAAACATGTCAGTGTGTGTGTGAACTCCACACTGGTCTGATAAAAAGAACTTGGAAATAATATTTAAAGACTAAAATGAACCTGTTTGAGGTGAAGATAGTTCTAAACAAATCAAAGGAGGACAAAAACATTCATATTATTCTATAAATAAGACACATGGTCAAATTGCAGTGGGCCCTGAATACGAGGTAGTCTGTGTACGTGTACCACCGTTTGAGAAACAATGTCATATTTGCTAGATGAAATGATAGACTGACAGAAGTGAGGCTCCAGTCTGCACCATCAACCCCTCCGACCATCCCCCTCTCTCACACATACACCACTTTCATGCTAGGCAATGTAAGTGAAGTGTCTTGCCTAAGGACACAATGACAGTTTTTGCTATTGGCGTCCCCAGTTTAATGATAATGCTGTTTGTGGATTTTTGTATATTTAATTTATTTATATTGTTTACAGTCCATAAACAGCTTTATCATCCAGACAGATTTCATTAATCAAACGTTTGCACTGACTCCAGCTTCACTTCACTCCTGAAGCTCCCACAGGTTCTTGAATGGATTTTGCTTGACAGTCCTGTCAGGGCTGTGGTCGTCCCTTTGGCTGGAGCACCTTCTCCTACCACACTTTTAGTCTCACTCCAGTTTCTCTGAATATGTTTGAATACAGCTCTCTGTCTTCTGCAGTCTTCCCCTTGACTGTAAAGGCTCAGGAAACCTTTGCATGTTTCCATTTAATGAGCTGATTAAGGTGTGACATTATGACTTCACATATTCAGCTTTTTCACAATATTCAAATTTTCACAGACACAGAATTTGGGGTTTTCATTCTCTGCAAGGGATGATCAGTAACTATCAATAAATAAAGGTTGTAAGCAAAACTTTATGTGTCATGAATCTGGGTTAGAAATGAGTGATATTTGTGTTTGATTGTACAGGTGCGGGGGTCGCTGTTGGAGAGTGTAATCTCCAAAAGGACAGAGTATAAGGAGAACTGCAGCAGGACTCTGGCTCTCAGCGTTCTCTCTCAGTCTGGTCAGTCACTGTTGTGTTCTATTTTGTATTTATCACATTTATAAAGTCGAGAATTTTCTGACCATAAGTTGGAGTCACCTCCACCTCTCCGCATGTTCCACAGGAGTCTTCTGTAACGGGAGCTTTGACTCGTTTGCCTGCTGGCCTCACTCTGCCCCCGGGAACGTGTCCATCCCCTGCCCCTCCTACTTACCCTGGATACAGCAAGGTACTACTACTACTACTACTACTACTACTACTACTACTGCTCCTACTAGTCTTTCTTTTTTGAGACAGTAGACTATGATTGTTTTGCTTTTCTTCACTTGTGTATCCAGAGCTGGGGATGACTGACACACTGTGATTATTTACAGACAGTTTGAGGCGGGCTCACAGGGAGTGCCTGGAGAACGGGATGTGGAGGCTGAAGGACAACTCCTCAGATGTGTGGAGAGAAGACTCTGAGTGTCTGGAGCGCGACTACTTCGAAGAGGAGGTACAGACACTTTCAGGGCACAGTCTTTACACGGTTTGCAGTGGTTGGAAGTTCTTCCTCGCTTACTTTATGCATTTTGAGCATCATAATTTTTCACCATGATGAGTTTAGAAGTACTTTTCACAAATTTCAAAAACAAGATCACAGTATTTTTAATCATTTCCTAATTAAACATAATCAGGGGTCTGTGGATGGGTGTCATGTGAGGGTCATCCCGGAAGACACACTCAGTAGATTCATCTGGATAAATGTCTGCTCCCAACTAAGGCTGTGCAAAAATATTGAAATATCGATATATCGTATTGTTCAATGTGATGATACTGTGTCAGTATTGTGGGCTGCTGTATTGATACATTGTTAAGAGTATATTTTGGTATATTTTACTAGATTATTTGGTTACAGCGCTACAGTTTTGTTGCTTGTTCAGAGGAAGGAAAACTCGTTTATGCAGCACATTGGAAATTTTCAGAAGATATTGATTCAGACATTTTGTACAAAAACTAATTTAACAAAGACTTTTATAAAAACAAGAGGGGATTTGCGATTTGTAACACCACCCTCCCACCTCACTTTTCAGTACAAACATAGAGGTGCCAGGACTAAACCAGAACTACTGAACCTAAAAAGACTGAACAGGACTGAACCAGGACTAAAACAGGACTGAACCAGGACTAAAACAGGACTGAGGACTAAAACAGGACTAAACTGAAAGGACTAAAACAGGACTGAACCAGGACTAAAACAGGACTGAACAGGACAACCAGGACTAAAACAGGACTGAACCAGGGCTAAAACAGGACTAAAACAGGATTGAACCAGGACTAAAACAGGACTGAACCAGGACTAAACCAGGACTGAACTAGGACTAAAACAGGACTAAACACATTGTAATCTCACTGTATTGAGGTATGTATTGTATCATGGCCTATGTATTGAGGTATGTATTGTACTGACAACTTATGAATGATACCAGCCCTAGTGCGAACTTTAAACCTGGTTCCATCTCTCAAAAAAAGTGAAATTAAAGGGCCCATATTACGCTGTTTTGTGATCTATTTTATTAGGTTTTCTCATCACAAACATCAGGCTGAGTTGTTTTGTTTCATTTACACAATGTTTTACACAAAACCCTGAATTCTTCTCTCAAACAGAAAATGCTGCTCCACCTTGTGATGTCATGTGATAATACAGGAAGTGCTCCACTGTGTTACATACACCATACACCTTCATTAGAGTCTACTAAACAAAAGGTAAAAGGAGCTGTTAACTTGGAAATTACCACAAAATGACATCACAGTGTGGAACAGAGTAGCTTGAGCTTTGGACATGTAGACAGACTAATAATAAACGATTACTCAGATGTGTGAAACAAACAAAACACAACTCCAGGTGTGTTTTGGTGAGGTAACAACATTCTAACATGGCTAAAAGCTCGTAAGAGTCAGATTTGCGTCATGTACAACCTTTAAAAACATGTTTTCTTTCTTGTTGTGCGTGGACAGGAGAAGCAGCGCTTACGTCAGACTGCCCTCAGGCTCATCTCGGTGATCGGGTACTCCCTGTCGCTGTTGTCCCTGTCTATGGCCACCCTGCTCATGGGCATGCTCAGGTCAGTACACACCACCAGCATTTGTGGATTATAAACTTCATTTTCACACATATTATATAAAATTACATACCTGGAGTTGTATTTTGCTTCACCGACGCTTGTTTGATGAATTTTGTGTAGTATGTCCACTCCCCCTGAGTCGTCACAAAACATTTTCCCAGGATTGTTGCATCACAGGTAAAAGCCCTGTGAATTTCAGTCCGTAACCATCGTCAGCATGCCTGAAGAGGTTTTATATGTCATCCATGTTCTATGCATGTTTGAATAATCTAGCGAGCTCTCCCGGGCCCTATTCAAACCCTACATACAGTTAACAGCATGAGCCTGCGCTTTTTGTACAAGGCTCAGCTCACAAGCCGACGCAATCTATGGTCCTGCACCAGACAGGTTAGATCTGTCCCAAACTAACTACTAACTACATAAATAAATGAATATTCAACTTTTATGAGGTTTTAAATGTATGTTTGAGTGCTCCTGTATTGTCCTGCTTTTGAGGTGTGAGGTGAGACAGTACTCGGAGTGTGAAATGTCGCTGTTGTTAACCAACAAAGCTTCTTGTACCCGCTGATCTACGTGAACTCCCGACCAGAGCATGAATCCCTGTGAACGTGTTGTCTTGGGATTGCAGTTTTCCACACTCTACCCACAGCCCCAACGGCCGCGCAACAGAGAAAAAAACAACTGTTTTCTTCATCTTTTATCTCCAACCCCCCCACCAAAAAAATAAAAAATATAATTATATTTATATTTTTTTTTTTTTTTCCCCATTTTTTGATTTTGTGTTTAAATGAATAAGGAAAAAAAAAGGGGCTAATGACAGTTTCCCATTTCTGTGACTTAAACTGCAATACTGGACTTTTGTGTCGTATACAGACTGAGCCAGGACTAAAACAGGTATAAACCACAATTAAACTAGGACTGAACCAGGGCTAAACCAGGTCTACACCAGGACTATACCAGGACTAAATCAGGACTAAACCAGAACTTAAACCAGAACTGTTCCTGTACTGAACCAGGACCAAACCAGGATTAAACCAGGTCTAAACCAGGACTAATTTTAGACATAAGACAGAGAAACAGGACCCTGAGCCCGTGGAGCAGGGTATCTGCAAAGCGCGATTTGGATGACGACAAGTAATATCTGTTTTAATTTATTTGTGGTCAGTTTATGTGTGTACACTGAATCTGTACTCTCACTATTTTCACCAACCTGCTCAGAAACTATAGGGGTAAATGAAAATTCATGTTATAACCTGAACTAGCATCTCTCTTATGACTTCTGTCTTGGTTCATGTATTGTTCTGCAAGTCCCTGTACAAATAAAAAGCACACCATACCATGCCGCTTTCTTCATGGCCTTTTAGTAATATACTGAAGTAGGCGGAGATGGTGAAATTTTTCCTTAAATGCAGGACAATACAGGATTACTCAAACATGCATGAAAAAAAAAAAAGCAAAAACTCTTCATTTTAATTTGAAGTTGTTAAAAAAATGACTCTTCTGTGAATCTGTGTTTGTTCCAGAAAGCTCCACTGCACCAGGAACTACATCCACATGAACCTGTTTGTGTCGTTCATCCTGAGGGCCGCTGCGGTCATCTGCAAAGAGCTGGTCCTGCACCTCATGTACACCCACCTGCCCACGGACGATCAGGGCTGGAGCTCCTACGCCAGCTCCACGGTACAACAGCACCCACCAAACGCCCGCATGAGCAGCCACTCGAGCACCTACCCAGTGCTCCACCCGACACTCACCTAAGGTCCCATCCAAAGCCCCCTGAACACCCATAAAACACCCACCGAAGCCCTCACCCAACCCCACGTATGCCCCTCCCCACACCCACCCAAGATCCTGCTCACAAACCCACCCAGTCACTCACCCAAGGTACCACCCAATGCTCACCCACTACCCACACAAGGCCTCTCCCGACACCCACCTAAGCCCTTCCCTCCACCCACAAAACACCCAGCATGCACCACACAGATGCCCAAACAACACCCACTTCAGATGTTATCCCTTATCATCTTTAGTAGTAATAGTGTCCATTACCCTGCTGTATTTTCCAACATCTGCAGATTAGACATTTGATCTCCACGTTAGTCCAACACTACTGGGATGCAGATGAATGGGAGGGCATCTGACACACAGGGATTTAGGGGGATAGGAATAGGATTTTTTTACTGTAGCTGTGGCTCCCTCTTGTGGTAAATGAGGTAATGCACAAGTCCAGCAGTGAGTACAAGTTTGTAGCTTGTCATCCAGGGGTGGGATTGTTTTTATTTATTTATTTATTTTTTTTTTTTTCATGTGGTCATAAAACAAACTGAAAATATTGTGAAGGGCTATGCCAATATGCTTTACTCAATTCTGCATAATAAAAAAAAAAGTCATTAAAAACCATCTCTAGAATCAAAGCAAAGCATCTTTAGTCCATGCATGAGGTAAAATGATAAAATATGTTTATTTTGTAATTCCAAATGATCTTAAATGGGCCGATCAGAGTCGACCAAAGGGCCATATGTGGGCTGGGAGCTGGACAATGCCCAGGTCTGTTGTGATGTAACATAACCACACGCTTTGACAAACATGAGTGGATCTGGAGCTATATCTGGTATTTCAGAGGGCGTGATTGACAGACAGATTAACCAATCAGAGAAACACATGGTCCGTGGCGGTAAACATGACCATTTTACATGTAAAAAAGGGAAAAAGACGACACAGAAGGAGTGAGAAACAGTGCAGATCTTTACAGAATAAACATTCAAAGCACAAAACTATGACTTATCTGGACCTATGATCCGGTTCCAAACTCCTCTGGATTCACTCAGAATGTAGAAGGTTAAACATACAGAATGTAGAAGAATCCAACTCTTTGTTTTTTTAAATGCAGTCAGTTAATTTGACTTAAAATAAACTCTAAATTCAGTATATTGTTTTTGTATCGGTATTGTCTGAATGTTCAACTTAAATCAAGTGCAATTTTTAAACATATTGGTAAAAAAGAGAGAAATTAGAAGACTTGACACAAATATTCAGCAACACATTTTACAAATTTTATAATGTATGTCATACAGGCATGTAAATAAAAACAAAAAAATCTGATAGATGTTCAGAATTTTAAGCTGCATGTAACTTTTCGGACAGATTCTGCTAACTGCTCTGTCTGGAATGTTCCACAGTGTGACATTAAACGGCTCTACTTTGCATTTATTCAATTACAGTTGGTTTTATAGCTCAAAAACACTCCTAGAAAAACAGACATTCTGACTGTGAGTGGGTCACCTCAGATCTGACCTGTAACTTGATCTGGTTACGTTTAATGCCATACTGCCAAACATTCCAGACAAAGCAATAACATCTCCATGAAGAAAATCGGCAACAGAAAAGTTACACAATGCACTTTTAAAGTTAAGATTCTGAATATAAGTACTTGTTTTGATTGCTCCTCTTCCACATCTCCTCCTTCCTCAGATATCAGTGCTGTGCAAGGCTACGCGGGTGTGGATGGAGTACTGTGTGTTCTGTAACTACCTGTGGCTGCTGGTGGAGGCCCTGTTTCTGCACACGCTGCTCTTCTCTGCAGTGCTGACCAAGAAGAGGCTGCTCAAGTCCTACATGCTGCTCGGATGGGGTAGGCCTGGGATCACCGCCTGTAAATGAATAGGAATGTCACAAATGTCACTTTAGATCATTGTTCTTTTTTTTTTTTTTTTAGCAACTCCTATCCTGTTCGTCACCCCCTGGACTGTGGTGAAGATCTTATATGAAAACACAGAGTAAGAACGATATATACACACTAGGGATGGTGCAAGATCTTGTCACATGAGATTTTTTTTTCCATCTTTACCATCTCTTACAGTTCCAAAAAGTAGTACTAGAATGGAAACAAAACTATGACATCAAATAAATACAAAATTGTGACACAAACATTAGAAGCTGAACTGTGAAATTTTAATATTAGGAATTATGATAAAATCTCATCTTGTTTCGTTCTCGTGGACTCAGTCTTGTGTCTCGTCACATGGAAATTGTGGAAAGTGGAGTGGTTAATTTAACACTTTTGAAAATGTTAATTAAAGTAACACTGGACCAAAGTTCCTGTTTAACCCCGAAATTATATGAACATTTTGAGAGTAAACAGATAACACTTTGTGAACTGGTCTTCTCTCACAAGAGTTTGAAGTGGTGTGTGGGAGCAGCCAAATTAACTTCAACTATATCAACTCTGGGAAACAACCCCAACTCCCACCCCCATTTAACTTTCAAATAGTTAAAATAACACTTTTTGTGTTAAATACAACTCACCCTGAAATGTTAACCCTCTTTTTTTTGCTGTGTAAGTTTGAAGGTCCTTGTCTCTTGTGAGTTCTAAGTCATGTTAGAATGTTGCTCCCTATTCCAAAACAGACCTGGACGTGTGTTTTGTTTCATTCACACATGATTGAGTTACTCTTTATTATTTGTCTGTCTACAGCTCCAAAGCTCAAAATGTTCTGTTCCACCTTGTGATGTCATGAAGTGGTAGTTTTTGCATTAACAGCTTCTTGTACCTTTAGTTCAGTAGAGATTGGCAATTCCAGAGCTGAAATCATTCGAATGATTCTAGTGAAGGTGTGTGGAGTTGAAATGTGTGTAAAATCCCTCAGTCATCCAGGTAGAATCCATGGCAAAGGAGAAATAAAATTTGTCAACCAGACAAAAGTTTATTTTGGTCAAATACATTTTCGCAGCCCATCCAAGCTGCTTCTTCTGTTCTCAACATGTGTGAAAAATCCCTCAGTCGTCCATGTAGTGATCTGACCAGAACTGATGAAGCAGCTTGGATGAGCTGTGAAAACATATTCAACCAAAATAAACTTTAGTCCAGTTGACAAATAAAAATTTCTCCTTTTGCTATATTACCACATGACACCATGTGGTAGTGTCAGTTTAAATATAAATGCATCTCCAAAGGGAAATTCAGAGTATTCAGGGTTTGTGTGTTAAACATGTGTAAATGAAACAAAACACAACTCCAGGTCTGTTTGTGATGAAGAAACTACATTATAACTTAGATCAGAGAATGGGCCTTTTTACAGTGAAGGGTGTGAAACCTTCTTTTCTCCATACATTTTCCTACACACCACAAACACACCAGAACACACGTGTATGCCTCTCTCATGACCTCTGACCTCCTGCTGCTGTGTTTCAGATGCTGGTCCATAGTGAACAGGTGGTTCTGGTGGATCATACGAGGCCCCATCACTCTGTCTGTGCTGGTGAGTTCTTTCACAGGGCTGACTCCTGCCTGCTTTGGGTGGTACAATGGGGTTTCTCAAGAATGAGTCCAATGTCTGCATTTTCTCTGCCAGTGTTATTATTACCTAAGTAAAAGTACAGAATCCTGAGCAAAGAAATATAAATGTGTACATGTAAAGTAAAAGTATCACATGAAAACTTCTTCTTAAGTGAAAATATTAAAGTACATGTTCAAAAATGTAGTGGAGTATAAAGTATGGATATATGCTCTCAAATGTATTCAAGTAAAAGTAAAAAAGGTACTTAAGTAAATACAGATAAAGTTCAGTACTTTACTACTTTTACTTTGTTCAGGTTATCCTCAGGTTTGACTACCCCAAATTTAAGACTTTTTAAAGACCTTTTTAAGACCACTTAAATGAACATTAAGACCAACATTGCACCCATTATACGGGCGAAAAACAACAGATCCAATTCTAATTCTAATAATGACCAACCAGCACCTATGTCTAGAATCTAGACTGCAGCCTGAAGTGACCCAAATCAGATTTTTTGGCCCCTATGTGACCTGTATCTGATCTTTTAATGACAGTCTGAATGACACAGATCCAATTTTTTCAAATGCGACCCAGGACACTTGGATATGTGCTCCTGAAACTGATACATATCTGATCTTTGACATGTGACTTCAGTGTGAACGGCCAAAGCGCATTCATCCACCTACACGTTATCAACAAGCCACAAATGTCACTATTCTGCGCTGAAGTAGGCGAAAATTGTTAATGAATTCCATGTCACTGAAGTGAAGCACATCACCACTCACCACTCTTGACTCCGTCTCCACATCCACATGTTCCTTTAAATGGACGTCGCTGCCACTGTCCCACAAAACACCACGGCCAAAAACCTCGTCCTCCTCCTTCTCAATCTCCTCCTTAAAACAAGTAAGTTGTAGCGTATTTTCCGCACTATTAGGCGCTCTGGGTTATAAGCCGCACTGTCATTAAATGGTCCATTTTCAAACTTTTTTCACAAATAAACTGCACTGGACTTTAAAGGAAACCCAACAGTGTGATGGGTGAGTGGTTTTGTTTGTTTGTTCGTTCACGGTGACTCTGGGCTTTGTTCAGTTGTGGCGTGTAGGGAGGGTGCTGTCTGGGACCAACGGATTGTCGGCGTGTTCACAGTGACTCAGCTGCTCAGTTGTGTCTAGAAGTGGCACATTCGCTTTTTCGGTTCGTTCCTCCGTTCCGTTCCTCGTCGGCGTGGAGTGATGAGTGTGTCTGTGGGTGTTTTTCGCTGTGCGGTCGCTGTCTGCTCCGTGTGTGTTTGCATGTTCTGCGAGTGGTGCGGCTTTGTAGTTTACTGAAGTCGTGCTGGGACACCTGAGTGGATTCGTTTATAGGGCGCTCTGGATTGCGGGATGTCATTTTTTGATGGGGTTAGAGGCTTAAGAGCACGTCTAATAGCCCGGAAAATATGGTACATGTTCTGGCTCTGGTACGAGAGGAACTTTAAAATCGTCAGATGCTCAATGCTCATGTCCATGTTTGGACATCTTCCGTAAACACAGAGACGCTCGCTGCCGTTGACGTCGTCGTGTCTCCAGTGTCACATGTGGGACACTTTCGGGCTGTTTAATGTTCACACTGGAGTCACATACAAATCACATTTAATTGGGAATGTGAACGACCTCGCAAAAACATCGGATTTCACACAAAAAAAAATCCGAATTGAGCGTTAAGCCCTGCAGTCTGAACGTAGCCTAAGAGCCACTGTGGATTAATACTACACTTCCCCATGATCCATCCAACGTCTTCTTCCACTTTACTGATTGTTTAATCATTGCCATCGGCGGCAGAAACCAAAGTATTGTTTGCACATTCTCCAAATTGGTTGTTCATTCACATTACTTGATTTCACGTTGTTGTTTTTTTTCCTCCCTCCATTTAATATTACACTGCAGCCTGGTTGAGTTCCTAAAAATAGGCTAATGAAATTTAAGACCTTTGTGAAAAAAAAAAACTTGGGCAACATAATTTAAGACTTTTTAAAGTCTTAATTTAGGAACATGACATTTAAGACCTTTTTCAGACTTTTAAGACCCCGCAGATACACTGTTGTTACATTCCAGCACTGGTTATTTCTAAGTTATATGGTAAAAATTAAATTTACGAGAGGGGTCAGGGCTGGTGTACCCATGATGCTTTGCTCTCCCTCAGGCCGGTGTCATGTGACCGTACAGTGCAGTAGATTTCACAGTGATTTGGGCCTCTGCCTCCCCCTGCTGTCTCGTGAGCTCATGTGATGGAGCTGTGACGTTACGCTCTCTCTGTGTCCCGTGTGTGTCCTCAGATCATCTTCTTCATCTTCATCAAGATCCTGATGCTGCTGCTGTCCAAGCTGAAGGCCGACCAGGTCACCTTCTCTGACTACAGATACAGGTGCTCTGACACACACAACCACCAAGGAGTTTAAAGTGTGAATAAAACATGTTGCCATAGAAGTTAAAGGTGCACTATGTAACTTTCCTGGTTTGTAGTCAGCCACCATGGAGTTATTGTTTTTGCTGGCTCTCCTTAGGTCCATGTAAATATTGTAATATTCTGTTTTGAAATGAGGCTGCTCTAAACTAGGGATGGGCATAATTAGTCAACTAATTGATAATTGATCAATAAGAATTTCCTTGATTACGTTCATTTCGAATCGACAAACCAAATGTAGGTTTCTGTGTGTACATACGAAGCAACTCCAGTGTTTGTGACAGCACAAACACTGGAGTTGCGGCCTAACAGTCCTGCGTTTGGGCTCTGGCGTCTCTTTGGAGATCACTGTACCACTCAGTGAGTGTGTTTACATGCACATCTGTATCCTGGTTTGGTCATGGTGCATGTTTACACAGTATCCCAGTTACTACAGCATAAAGAGCTGTGTCAAACCTGCACATGTGTATGATCTTTGAAAACATCTCGACACACACACAGAACAGACTCATCTTCAGCAGAACATTCCTCTGTCACAGAAAGAACACTCATATTCCACTGAGTCGAGTCTGCAGAAGCTGAACCGCATCAGCACACAAGAGTGTTTTTTGTTTTCTTTTCTCCTCTTAGTTTATGCAAATGAGCCAAGCAATTTTAAGTTTTGTTTCTGTGAGACTTGCGCAAAGCTGCATTAAACACATTCTAATGTCAAACGGGCTGATGTGGCTCTCGAGTGGTGATGGTTTATATGTTGTAAAGTTCAGTTTATTTTATGCAGATTAGTAATAGTAATAATAATGATGATAATTATTATATAAACGTTAATGATTAATCAAAAATCGATTGTTAATTCTCCCGACAATCGATTAATAAAATTTCCTCCCATGCCCATCCCTGCTCTAAACTGAAGCGTGTGCTGTGCTCTCAGCCTGGCGCGGGCCACCCTGGTGCTGGTGCCTCTGCTGGGCATACATGAGGTGGTCTTCACTGTGCTGGTGGACGAGTGTGTGGAGGGCTCCAGCAGATACGCTCGCAACTTCATCAACCTGACCCTGAGCTCCTTCCAGGTCTGTACATGGACTCTGTGTTCAAGGAAATCAGATACAAACTTACAAACTCAGAGCAGAACCAGAACAATCCATTTGTCACATTTGAACTATGAGATGTGGAGCACAGTCCTGTGGAAAATGGCAGTAAATGAATCATCATTTGTACCAGGACATATTTGTCCGTAGGCTTTATTAAACTGGAGACATTGAGCACAGAGTTTCAGATGTGCTGCTGCTTTCTCCACTCGAGCCGCCTGTAGCACAAGTCAGAATTTTTTTCAACAGGGTGAACCATAACAAGGTTAAGGTTAAGCTACAGTTTGTTGTCCCCATAGAGCAGGAGTGTCAAAATCAAATTCACAGAGGCCAAAATTAAAAACTGGGACTAAGCTGTGGGCCAAACATAACATTTACAGAAAAATGTAAACAACATGTCCATGCTTTCTCTTCTTTCGAGATATGTAATGTTAAACCTTTTCTTATTCAAATAAATGTTTAATAATAGTTTTGTTTAAACATTGAATCCAGAACAAGCAGAATATAAAATAATAACAACATTTTAAATCAATAATGTTTCTATAATCTATCTGTAGCTGGCGGGCAGCTCTAGTACATATTTAATATGATCTCGCGAGCCAAAGATAATTATATCGCAAATTTGGCCCCCGGACCTGAGTTTGACGTTTGACATGTCTGCCTTAGGGGAATTATCTTCTGCATGCCCATGTTCAGATCTTGAGCTTGTCTTGGTCAGGACCACCTCAGCAGGAGGATTTGCATGTTTTGGGTTGATGGGAAACTAGAATCATCAGAGGAAACTCACCCAGACAGTGAGAACATGCAAACTCCACACAGAAAGAACATGTAACCTGAACTGAACTGAAAGATGAGTGTTTCAAATGCTTACATTTAAACTTAGACAAACTTTATTGATCCACAAGGGAAATGATTTTATTATTATATTATAGGTATATTTTACTATAAATGTTAATGTTGACATGTATGTTTGTTCTTTCAGGGTTTTCTGGTGGCAGTGCTCTACTGTTTTGCCAATGGAGAGGTACAGTTTTAATGATCACACATTTGTGACATTACAAAAACAAACTTCAGGTTCAATATTATGTATTTTTAGACCTACTTTTGCAAGGTAATGCATCTGATGCCTTTTCTTTAAGTACATAAAATACCAGCAGAGGGCGCAGGACTCCAGCTGTATGTGGATTCATTTAAAGAATATTGTACATTGTTAAATATTGTTGTAGACACTGTCACTGATACAGACACTGACACTGACTGTCAGTGACACTTTTACTGCTTTAAAACATGAAGAGCAGAGCTAGTTCACTTTTAAAGGTTTGTTGTCCAAAGTTCTTCCTCACTTACCTCATGCATTCAGAGCATCCAAATTATTCACAACGACAAGTTTATATCGCTTTTCACAACTCTCAGAGATCAGGACTTTTGCCAAGATGACAGAGCAAACAACAACTAGCATGCTAGCTGTGCATTTCCTGATTGTAATTACAATATAATGCATTTTAATTAGATGCAGACAGCGAGCAGTGGACTCATGTTGACCTCAAGAGCATTGTTAAAGTCTAAGCACATGAACGGAACCTATATCTAACCTATGCAGTGACATCATGCAGAGGGAGTTCTGTATGTATGTCTATGGAGGAATGTTTGGCATTATGACACAGTGCACACATTAGCAAATATAGCGTGATAAGTTTTTAAATTATCTGAAAACTCAAGAAAAAATACAAAATGGATTTAAAGAGCACATTTTCAAGAGCCTTCAATCAGTTCGAGCGTTCATGGTGCTGTTTAGGAGTTTGATTTTCAACTAAAAGGTGAGAGTGAATTGAAAAGTCTCACTTGTTGTAGTTCCAAGTCTGCTAAAACAAAACTCAGATTAAAGTTAACTTGAGCAACAAAGCTGACAGACAGAACAGGGCCTCCAGTTATCTTCACTTCAGGAAACATCGGTGACATCAGCCGCACAGTATCAGCTGGGTTCCTTGTGTCTCGTAGGTCCAAGCGGAGCTGAAGAAGCGCTGGCAGCTGTTCCTGTTCACCCACCACTTCACTGTGCGGAGCTGCTTCAGGGGCACCCCGCTCAAGCAGCTGTGGAAGAGCACCCACGGGCGACGACCCCAGTGCTCCGTTCACAGCGAGTCCTACGAGGTTTCCGGCTGTCCCCGCCCCCCTCTGCTCCCGGTGGCGCTGAAGAGCACCGCGCCCGGTTGCGGCTCCAGGGCGCAGGGCGGGCAGGAGGGGCTCACCCGGAAGAGTCTGTCCAGCAGCGACGGGGACATGACTCTGGGGGAGACCATGGAGGAGGTCCTGGAGGAGAGCCAGTTCTAAAACCACACAGACTACGTCATATTACAGCGGGACCAAACACCTACACTCCGACCATGACCACATTTCAACCAATCAAGTGATTATATACAAATATGATCATCTGATTTGTCCCAGGGAGGCAATTTAAGCACATTGAGCAGTAAAATATCATAATAATTTTCGCTTTTTCGACTTCGCTCACTTTTGTAAACCACTTCCCATTCCTTTCACTGGAGAATTTGGGAAAGTTTTGCAGCTAAAATATGAAATAAAGTAGGTTTATTATTTTGTGTGTCATTTGTTCATTTGTTTTTTCAAAATAAAACCAAAAATAAGAAAATGAAAAACACCAATTTTATTCATTATTATCCAAAACCAAAAAAAAACCACAAAAACAACAACAAAAAAACAAAACTTTTTTTTTTTTTTTCAGTTTTCGATTTTGTGTTTAAATGAACACAACTTAAACTGCACTTGTCTAACATTTTAGGCAATCATCTTAACAAAATAACACTATTCCCACAGTATTGATTATACAAATTTCGAGATTAAGAATTACAATCACGAAATGAAGATTTATGATTACACTTTCTTCAATATGAATACAAATTCACAGACACAACTTCACCGTCAAAACTACATCATTACTTCACAGGCTTTATTTATTGAGCAGAAGAAACATTGATCGAGATGCCGGACTTTTGTGCCGCACACGGACTGAACCAGGACTGAACTAGGACTAAAACAGGACTAAACGAGGACTAAACCAGAACTAAACAGAACTGAACCAGAACCGAGTGTCGGTACAGGCCTGGACGTCCGCCCATGTAGACCGTTGGGTGACCACAGGTGAAAGGGCCGGCACAGATCTGAGCCCCACGGGACTAAGCACAACCGTCGCCCGATCGCGCTTTGCAGACACCCTGCTCCACGGGCTTAGGGTCCCGTCTCTCTCTCTCTTTTAAGTCCAAGATTAGTTCTAATTTAGACCTGGTTTAGTCCTGGAATCCAGTCCTGGTTTAGTCTTGGTTCAGTCTGTATGCAGCGCAAAAGTCCGGCATCGCAGTTTAAGTCACGGAAATGTGAATTTTCATTAAAAAAAATAATAATAATAATTAAAAAATAAATAAAATCCTTATCTGTTTTTTCATTTTGGTTTTGGGGACAAATAATGAAGAAAATTGTTGTTTTTTTGTTTTCGTTGTTTTTGGTTTTATTTTTTTTTAAATGAATTAACAAATGATACGTGAGAATTTATTTCCTGTGAGTTCGACAACCGGATGCAAAATATTACAACCTCAACTATGAAAGCTTCACCCACGGCGACTTCCTGAATAAGGTGAATAGGAAAGCTCAACCAAAAGTGTCAGTGCAGCTCAACAGTCATGAGTCAAGTCATCAGATCCTGTGTCAGGGCAGTGTGAGGGGAGTAACGGCCCTCAGGACAAAAGTGTCTCCTCCTGCAGCGTCACAGCAGCCTCCAGGGGGAGCCAGGTGAACTCTAGACACGCAACAGGAAAGCCTCAGCTGAGCCTTTCTCTCTCTTCGCTCTGTTATGAGGCAAATGTGAGGCTCCTTCTGCTTTCTTAAAATCTGCAATTTTCATTTTTTACATGGAAAACCAAACACCACTGCAGCTAGCGTATGTTTTGGATGAGCAAACATTACCACATGGTTCAAAGTTCACATGAGTTTAACAAACTACGGTATGTGCCCTTTAATCATTTTACGCAGAAGTCAAAGGATTGTAAATATGTAAATCACCAAATTATCCAGTCATCAGATTCATATGTCGTTTGTGCTTGCTCATTTGATAGCGATCCAATCACAGCTGCTTATTTGTAACACGTCTCAAAGGTTGAAGACATTTGTAATTTTCAGAACAAAATCTAAAACAATTCTCAGTTTAACCGTGGTCAGTTGTCCAAGAGGGTCTATGTGCAGCTACAGTCAAAAAAACTCTCTATATTTGTATCTTTTAAATAAAGTTGCTCATTTACTCTGGCTCCATGGTTAAAGTTGGGATTAGGGAGAATCAAGTATTCAACTAAACTGAGTGTTTCACAAATGGAGCTCTACTCATGAATGCTCTTCCCATCGACTTCAGTCAGACCCTGTCAATGCCCCATTTGGAATCTTAAACAACACTGCACTGTGTCACTTTTTGGTTCAAGGGTCCATCACCTGCTTGTTTCTATGAATGTGTCAGTGCTCACTAGACGGTTTGCAAAAACCCTGGAAGTTGTAGACCGCACACCGGCCAGTCAGCTGTGAGTTGTGAAGTCATGACGTCAAACTCGTCGCTCCTGTCTGGGTCCCTTTTGTGGAACAGCACAACAGTAAACAAAACGTTGAGATGGATGTAGACGAAGACAAACATTCAACGTTATTGTCCTTCTTCCTACGGGATTTGGCGCATTACATACGTCACGACCAGATAGCAGCGATTGGTTAAATAAAATATGTACCCGCCTACCGTCGAGCGAACAAATCCTAATGCTGCGAGGTCAGACGGTTTCCACGAAGTGAAACTGGCTGATGAATCAGACTAGTGCTCTGCCTGGAATGTTCCACAGTGTGACATTAAACAGCTAACTTACATTTATTCAATTGTAGGTGGTTTTAAATCTCAAAAATACCTAGAAAAACAGACATTCTGACTGTGAGGGGGGTCGCCGCTTCATAGATTTGACCTGTCACTTGGTCTGGTTTGGTCTCCATGAAGATAGAGGGGTTTACTATGAAACATTCCAGAGTAAGCAATAACATGTCCATAAAGAAAAGCATTTGACGGACCCTCCAGCAGAAAAGTTACACAATGCACTTTTAACTTAACTTTTATTTGACCCATTTTTTCAAACTGAGCATGCCCAGATTCTTCGGCTCGAGTGTGGAAGTTTCTATTTTAACCATAGTTTGCACAAATCTATAATTTATGAATTCTAAATTATGTTTGTAAAATTAGACTTCATTAGTAAACCCACACACTTTGATGATTCTGAGTAAATATGATCCTTTTCCATTTCTAGTTTGAAGAATAAACTTAGATATGAATGCATTTAAACTGAGCGATACAGCAGAACACACAAAACAAACACAATACTTTGAAAATGACCATTTTACAATTGAAATTTAAAGATGCCAAAGTGGGTGATGACAGACATCGTAAGCTGCTGTATTTGTTCAGATGCGGGTAGACCACACTGCAAAAAAACAAAATCTGGTCAAGTTCAGATGACTTGAATTAAGAAAGTTTTATCATGATGTGAATAAATTTCACTTGACAAGTAAAATTATCTGTCAGTGGAATAAGACTTTTTGTACTTAAGATATGAAAATACATTTTGCTACACTTAAAATAAGAAAAAAAAACAACCTTTTGTACTTAAAATAAGAAACAAACTCAAATGTTGCATGAATTAAGAAAAACACACTTATTCCATTGGGAGATCGTTTTGTGCTTCTCTGATTGGCTAAACCGCCTGTCAATCACAGTCTATACAGTGATTGACAGGCGGATTAGTTGGGAAGGTTGGGAAGGTGACTTTTAAAATGTAATCCCCTACAGATTACAGATTACATACCCCAAAATGTAGTTTGTAACATAATCCATTAAATTACTTAAAGTGAGTAACGTAATCTGAATACTTTGGATTACTTGATATTGTCATGCTGTTTAAAACTACATGAATGTAGCGACCACATCCTGAAAATTCTTGTTTGTTCTCTTCAAATTGGTTGTTGAGCCCAAGTCTCCATGAACAGACTTTTGTTTTACTGTAGAGAAACAAAGACGAGGATCTTAACATAAGATCTTTTGTCTGCTTAAAGAAAATGAAAAGCCCCTTAACTGTATTAAAAATATTATTGATAGAGAAATGATTTATCTATATGAGATCAATGCTGCTTTAAATTATGTCCACCTACTGTTAATGTCATATTGTTTAGACCTGGTTTAGTCCTGGTTTTAGTCCTAGTTTAATCCTGGTTTAGACCTGGTTTAGTCCTGGTTTTAGTCCTAGTTTAATCCTGGTTTAGTTCTGGTTTAGTCCTGATTTTAGTCCTGGTTTAGCCCAAAATGTGAAATACCACCATGTAATCCATTTATTTCGACAAAGTAACTGTAATCCAATTACCACTCATTGAAACAGTAACTGTAACCGAATACAGTTACTCATAATTTGTACTCTGATTACATAATGCTGTTACTCCCCAACAGTGATTATATAACACAGGACAAGTGTGTACTGTATGTATGTATCAATGAAACAGAATACTTTGCTGCTTGAGCCATAACCTTGTGGATTAAATGTACATTTGAATACAGTGTATTTGTGAATATTCTTCTAAAGCACGACGCTACAGCCAGTGTTCATTTTCTCGATTATACATTTTGTTTTTTGTATTAAAGCTTCACTGTGTAACTTGTCAGGTGGTAAAGACAAATGGACTGATCCAGACTCGTGATGTACATGTGAGCGCAGAGTCATGAAGCAGTGTAAATATGAATAATAATGTACAGTATATTCAGAGAGAAAACTAAGAATATATGACAAATAAATATATGTTGTCAAAATGAGTTCTATGTGGACATACCCATATTTTTGTACGTATTGCTTCTGTGTTTGAGTATTCAGAAGCAGATTCATGGTGAGCACTGTCTGTACATATTTGCACAATAAAGTCGAGCAAACTGTGCCACTGTCTCATTTAAAAGGTAATAAACTTTCAAACGTGATTTCAGTACTAATACTCGATACTCAATATTGATTTTTCATACCACAATGATTGGTGGTTTTAGACATTAAAGGTTGTATAGAGGATTTTTTAAGGGAAAAGAAATACAGCGACAGTCCTTTTTCAAATGTTGTGCATGCGTGACACCACCTTCCTCCTCCACAGCCTCAGTAGAAACACCTCCTCCCGCCTCCTTACTCTAGAAATCACGCTTGTTTACAGCCGGTGCGTGTTCAGAATTACTGTTGAAGTGACCTGTCTAGAAGTAATTTAGTGACCAACACGTCAGTTTATCTTCGCTCCATTTCCCCTTCTCTTCTTCTTTCAGCGACCTCAAAAACAGACTTTCTTTTGTGGCAAACTGGTCGTGGATTCTCGTCCGCCATCGCAACAAACTTAGAGCGACAGTTAGAAAAAGTCTCTAAGAACCGTAGCATAAGCCACATAATCCCCGCGCGCCAGCGAGTCAGTGATACTAGAAACGCAGGGAGTTTGATTGACAACCTAACAGCCAATAGATAAAGAGGGAGCCTTGTTATCTATTGACTGATGTTTATTTGGCCTCACTACATCCACAGTTGATAGATTTTCATTCTTTTTTTTTTTTTTTTTTTTTTGGTCATCATAATTACAAGGCTGCTGCGTCTCTGTAATGGTATTTTAAACTTTCATTGACAATTTGAAACTAAAAAAAAATCCTCCATACAACCTTTAACTTGTAGTATTTTCTTTTCTATTCCCATGTGTCTTATGTGTGTAATCCTCAGTGGTCCAGTAGGTTCTATAGTGGCTCAAGATCATTCTATTCTTGAACTCGAGTCAGACTTCAGTCACTATTTTTAGGACTTGAGACTTGATTTTACAGAAACAAACTGGAACATGTCTGTCTCACTTTTATCATTATTATTATTATTTTTTTTACTTTGGATGTAACAGTAACTGAAGTACTGTGATGTGGTATCCTCAAATGTACTACAGTAAAATACAGTACACTACAGTAATATACAATACAACAGAGTACAATACAGTAAAACAGAAGAACTACATAAAACATGATTCTTCCATTTCAGTGCAGACACATGACAAAATAACTGTTGTTAAGTGTTTTAAAATAGGAATTCTATCTATTTTGACAGTAATGATTCATGCTCTTGTTAAGACATTTAAAAAGAAGAAAATAAAAAGATTTCTACAGCTCTTATATAAATACTCATACACTGTGACTATTTAAATCCAATTTAGTTTAAAAGTCAGTTACCCTATTTTCTACATTATAAGGCACTCTGTCATTGAATGGTCTATTTTCAAACTTTTTTCACATATAAACCGCAACGGACTATAAGGCGCATTAAACGAAACACAACAGTTAGATAAGTCAGTCAAACTTATTTAATGTGTTCATAATAACTCTCAACTTTGTTCAATTATAACGTGTAAAAAAAATTAAAACTGTGTGAGACACTAAATTGTTGGTGTATTCACAATAAGTCATAATAGTTCAAACAGTTGGGTGATTCCAGCGTCCAGCATGTCCACATTCCTCTCATCATTATCCGAGTCAGTGTGGTTACTGTTCCTGGAGTTCAGGTCAGTGATGATTCTGGTCTTGGTGAAAGCTCGGACCACAGTTGATACTGATCTTTAGCCCGGGCGTCCACGATCCGTTGGCAGATCGTGGCGTAAGTGGCTCTGCGCTGTCTCTCTGTCTTGGTGAATGTGTGTTCTCCTTCTCTCATCCACTGCTCCCACGTAGCTCGCACTTTCACTTTATAACAGCCTTGAGTTTAAAGTGGGTGTTGTGAGCGTGTCTCTTGACAGGTGCATTTTGATATTAAAAGGAATCACAGTATGTATTACTCCTGATGCTCCTGACTACGGGAGCCGTAATGCTGCAAGTGGAGCGGCTTTGTAGTTTACTAAAGTCGTACTAAGACACCCCAATAAATTCATATATAAGGTGCTCTGGATTATAAGACTCACACTCGTTTTTTGAGTAAATTAAAGGCTTTTAAGTGCACCCTGTAGTGCAGAAAAAACTGGTAAATTGCAAAAATCTAAGTTATTTGGTACTTTTTTGGTTTAAAGACTTGAAATGACTTGAAGCTCAAAGCAAATGACTTGGACTTGACTTGGATTTATGGGTCAGTGACTCGAGACTCGACTTGGACTTGGGACTTGACTCAGACTTGAGGTCAAAAACTTGAGACTTGCAAAACAACGACTTGGTCCCACCTCTGCTAAAGCTATTCAGGAAAGGTTCAGTTCTGTCCTGTGTTTTATTTATTTGTTTTTTGTTTCAATACTTCTATATTGATATTACAAATGAGAATCTAGCTTTCTATAATAGTTTTATGGAGTAGTATCTGATTTTCTATACTCCTGACAACTCTAGTACCAAATCCAGAAAGCAGAAGGCAGAAGCAACATCACTTTTCATCACATTTCACTGATGTATTATAGTCACTAGTAGCAGCAAAGGTGGACAATATATATATATATATATATATATATATATATATATATATATATATATATATATATATATATATATATATATATATATATATATTTATTTATTTATTTTATTTATTTATTTTTTTACATTAACTCAGTAAGAAATTGTACTTTTTGAGAGTACTTTTGTTGCAACATAATTTTAGTCTTACTTGAGCTGGGTAATATATCACACAGTGGAACAGTAGTGTTGTTACTTGAGTTAAAGTTGTGGTTCCTCTTCCCACTGTGAGTGAGTCTAAAGTGACAAAAGCTTTATTTTGACAACATGAAATGATTTCTGCACTGCTCCTTCAGAAAATACCAGATTTTGTGCATCATGTAATGTTTTGTCCTTCATATTAATATACTTTCAAATTATAAATCATATTTTTAAATTAATCCTACTAAGTACGTAGTACAGATGCAACAATAACCAAAATATTGTGATATTGTATTGTCAGAAGTATCACAGTAAAATCATGAACTGTCACAATATATCAAATCACAAGTTTCTTTGCTTAAATGCAGGTTTTACAGTAGAAACAGCTTATAAACATCAGGAACTACATTTCCCATGATTCATTTCAGAGCAGACAACATGTAAAGATATGTTTTTACTTGTATTCTTGGAATTATGATGGAAATAATTCACACCAAAATCTTGTCAAAAAAAACGTGTCCTATCTACAGTTATATCAGCCTCTCCAATAAATATCATAATAAGTATCGTACCGCGAGATGCATATTGTGATAATATTGAACCGAGAGATTTGGACATTGTTACATCTTAGGTATGTAGTAGTTTCCTCAAATACATTTTGATTTATTTGAGTAATTTCTTGGATTACTAATCTGTATCCTATTCTGATCGAGTAATATTAATGTTTAGTTGTGTTACTCTTACTCGAGTACAATACTGGAGTAACCAGGAGCTCTCTGTCCCCTTCCACGCAGCTTGCCAAGGGATTTCTGAATTCTGTGTGTTGTGCTGAATAAGTAAAATTTGATTAGTTACCTTTGTAAATGTGTTTGCTGTTCAGTTCTTATGTTTACTCAGTTTCTGTGTGACTGCTGAACTCAGCAGTAACGTGGTCAAAGTAGGAGGCAGACTTCAACAAAAAAGACAAAAATGTATATAAAACAGACTGTGTAGGGTAAAGTAATTATAAATAAAATGTTCAAACAAATAAACAGAAAATCAATAACTCAATTTAAATCAATCAACAACACCGCACACCCATCTGCACACAAGTCTCTCCTAACTGACAAAACCTGCTCACTTTTATGCCCCCAGGTAAGTATCAGCTCTTTTACAGGTAACTTTCCAAAGTCTAAAGCAAGGATTTTTGTTTTGTTTACATAGGCCTAAATCCTTTTTACCAGTTCTCCCCTCCACATGGTCCAGCCCATGACCTCCTCTTAAAAACGGCCTACATGAGGCCCCCTCTTCTTGTCTGGATCATGTGGAGCTGCAGGTGAGTGTAATGGATGGATGATGTAACTGAATGTAATTAACAATAAAGCAGATTTAAATGATGAAAGTGTTATGTGATAATTAAATAAAACTAAGAATTATTGTAACTGATGGTTATGATACAAAATTGGTTGGTTATGATGAATGATAATATGATCATGTAAATTTTAAATGGGACAAAAGCCCACTTTGTCGCACTGTAATTTTCATTTTGGAAAGGGAGATCACTGGAGGAAAAATAAAAAAAAAAGGCCCCTGCCCTTCCATCTCCGGTAATTAGACACTGAAGGTGACTACAGGGTTATTGAAGTGAGGAGACAGTTGTCCTCCTCTGTCTGAAGGGCAGACTCAGGAGCTCAGGGCAGAGGTCTCGTCCGCCCGCGTTATGTGCACATAATTGGACAGACTTGACCGTGCGCACGCTGCTCTTTTCTTTACGGACCATCATCCTGAAACCAAAGTGCACGGAGCGCTCTCATGGAGCACACTGCCGTGATCACCACGTTGTGACGTCCCTCCCCTCCACTGAGCCAATCCGCGGCCGACTCTCTGCAGTGGGCGGGGTTTTCCTCTGGGGATTTATCATGGATCTATTAAAATAAGTGGATACAGTGTTGCTGCTTGTAGCTGCCTTGACGTAGTGGCCACTCACTGGTACTACAGCGGAAAAAATCCCATGGGCCGAGAGAAGATTTTTTTCATAGAGCGCAATGTAATCACAAACTGCTCGTGTTCGGCTGACAGGGCACCTACAACTTTCAAAAATGTCGGATTTTTTACCTATTTTTAGATCATACACTTTTTCTCAGCTCAAAATTCTTCAGTTGTCTTAACAAACACTTTATAATCATTAGCTTCGGCTACGCGCTGCGCCGCTTTAGCTCCTCTCGCTCTGATTGGTCAAAGCGATCACGTGATACACCGTGCGTGCGTTTGCGTATGCCCGCGGGAGAAAAGAGCACTACTGCGCATGCTCGGTCGGATTGGGACAGTTGGGATTTATCAGCCTGTGTTCCGGGCTAATAACGGCCTCTCATTTCCATCTGTTCCCGGCTCTTTCTCTTTGGACCTTTCCCCGCTCACACCTCCCGCAGAGCTCGTCTCTCTCTCCGGTACCAGCTCAGATGGCGGAACGCATCGGGTACATCAGCCGCGTCCAGAGCTTCAGCGCCTGTCACCGACTCCACAGGTTGGTTTGCCTACGCGCACGCCCGTGCCACACACTGCCCGTGCCACACACTGCCCGTGCCACACACTGCCCGTGCCACACACTGCCCGTGCCACACACTGCCCGTGCCACACACTGCCCGTGCCACACACTGCCCGTGCGCGCCGAGTGTGGCTCTTACTAGGACTAGAACTGGACTAACACTGGACCGACACTGGACTGATCCAGGTCTAAACCAGAGCCAGAGTAGGACAGCTCCAGGCTAAACATCCAGTGCTAAACTAAGGCTTTGAATCAGGGATATATAACAACATATCTGCTGTGTGCAGTTCAGTGAACAAACCCGCTCTGTACCTGGAAAAAGTCTAAACCAGTTTCACTGTTATTCTCCGGGCATGTTTCCAAACTTAACACTGGATTTTCTTATAATTATTGTTCAAAGTATTGATGAATGTGCGTGCTGACGTGCGCATTACGCTTCGTGGTGCTGCCTGGTGCCTTTACTTGTGCCTGGTAAATAGACTGAAATGAGCTGCCAGCAGCAGCTCACTGGGACGGCGTCAGTGTGCGCCGAGTCCACGCACAACTATTCAGCCTCATATCGACTGGTCAAAGCCTGATCCTGTCAGAAGTTCAACAGGGCCGGGCCTGGTCAGGACTTGGATGGGAGACACTGGGAAAATCAGGAGCCACAGGGGGGCGCCAGTCGCAGAAAACTGTTGTTGTGTCTTTATGCAAGACACTTCACCCCCATTGCCTAGTATGAAAGTGGTGTGTGGGGTGTGTGCATGTGTGCGTGTGATGGTGGTGGTCAGGGGGGGATGGCGCAGATTGGCAGCCACGCTTCCGTCAGTCTGCCCCAGGGCAGCTGTGGCTTATTATATTATTATAAATGGACATTGCCATCTATCGATTCACGCTACCCCGTCAAAATAAGCAACCTTACATTTTTCCGTTTACAGTTGTATAGATCCAATAAAGCCAACCTCCCCATTTTTACCACATAAGGGTGAGTTGTTGTACAGTTGTAGGGAGTATTATCTGTTACATAAAACCTGAGCTTAATAGTAATATATTTCTATTTTCTTTTTTTTTTGTCCAAATATTATAAAGATATATGTATAGTTGGACTGTATCATATATTCCTCTTCTTTCTCTAATCTCTCTGCTGTTTTTGTGTCCACAGTCCTGCCCTGAGCGACGAGGAGAATAAGAAGGTGTACGGGAAATGCAACAACCCCAACGGACATGGACACAACTACAAAGGTCTGCGTTTTATTTCATTTATTTTTATTTTTGTATTATTCAACATTATGACTTCTGAATATAATTGAGTTCTTTGTTTTTCACAGTGGAGGTGACTGTACGAGGGAAGGTGAGCCTCATGTTATATTACAAGTGACAGGTTTACATGTTTTTTTAATTATTATTATTCTGACTTGGTTTAGTGGAATAGCACCTGTCCTGGGGTCAGTATTTATCATAGTTATACTAGGGATGTAACAGGAACCGAAATATTGTGATATTGTATTGTTCTCACTAGAACATCGTGGGCTGTCACAATATTTAGAATCACAGTCTCTTTGCTTAAAGTCATTGTAATGGAGCAGCAACAACTAAACAACAGATAGAACTACATAGACCATGATCCTTTGCTGTTTCAGTCCAATCTACATGATGATAATTGTTATGAAGCACTTGTAAATCTTAATTATTTGGATTATGATGAAAGGAAAATAGTATATTCACAATTGTGTTGGCCTCCAATAAATATCATACCTTGAGATACATATTGTGAAAGTATTGTATCAAGAGATTTGGATATTGTTAAATTTGACTTCAGTTAAGTGACAGTTTGTAGGGGGAAAAAGTAGAAAAACAAAGTATCATAAGTGGAATAGCTCCTATAGTACCCATGTCATCAAAATAGAAAATACCATCTAAAATGCAGAGGCATATTTTTCTGACAGTTAAACCTTCATTTAACAGAATAAAAGAGCTGTTTCAGGATGTAATGTTAGTGCAACCTTAAACAGCTAACCAGCACTACTGTTTTATATTTCTTAAATATTGATGTGTGTCCTGCTGTGACACGCTGCTCTGTGAGTTTATGTATTAAACAACAGTGTGGAGCAAAGAGGGTTAAACAGGAGACTAGACGAGGTAAAACTTCTCTCTGCTCCAGAACTAATGGCAGATCTGCTCTTGCTTCAATAAGGATTGTTCACTGTTCACACATTCACGAGGGTTTAGCAGTGTTTACAGTGAATCATCATGATGGATGATGATATCTATAACTAGTTAATTTAATTTAATTTTAATACTATATACCCTTTTCTACTTAAAATTGTGTTGTTTTACTAACATAACTACTCATCCGGGGCTTTGGCACATAAGGGAAAAATAAGTTTCCATTTAAGAATAGTTGGTGTTTAGTTGGCTACACGCTGTTCCTTCAGTTCTTCTGTTTTAGCGGTAAGATGACACACTGGTCTTTGTTTGGACACTTGTAGAACGTGTTGAACATGCTGAACATGAGCGGTGTTTGTGCAATACACAGTCGTGACACTACTTAAACTAGCTGCATATTCGTTCTATTCGTGATTTAATTTTTTTGTTTTTAGTTTAGTTAAAGTGTTTAGGTTTACAAGGCCTACAGAAGATCAGTGTGTTTTTGACAGGAGGGAGTGGCATCATGATGGTGGCTGTCCATGTTGGGTCATCCATCACAAAATCCCTGTCATTCACTTTTTCGTCTCCTCCATGCACAGGACAGGGAGCACAAATATAAAACATGCATGTGTGTACATGAGCTCTGTGCCTTGCTTTGGTCCACCACTTCCAACCAGGCCAAATAATACACATTTATTTACTTTTTACTTATTGTAGTAGTAATTTTAACACAGAAGGCCCCTAAACAGTGTTTTACATAGGTCCTCCAAAAATCTTGACACAGCGTTATATTAAATGTATTATTTTGTGTATATGTCTTTAAATTTCATCAACATTTCCGTTGCAGATTGACGCTAAGACTGGCATGGTCATGAACCTGACAGACCTGAAGAGATGCATCGAGGTAATAATCACATTTGAAAGGAAAAATATATTTTAACTATTACATATTAATTAAAGAGGGAGTATTATGCAAAATGTGCTTTTTGGAGCTTTCTACAAGGTTATAACATTGTTCTCTCATTAAAACCATGTCTGAAGAGGTTTTAGAGTCATCCAGGCATGTGAGTGAGCTCTCCAAAAATGACCCTCCTTAACAGTAGGTAGCAGTACTATGTCCAAGACCCGAATCCACAAGCATACTCCTCCACCGAAATGTTCCATAAATATACAAACACTTTATTCAAAACGATACAAATTCACAAACCCGATGTGATGTGCAGTAGTTTCATTAGCGGGATACATGCCAGTTGTAATGTGTAATGTGTTTCTGTTTCCCTTACTTTTGTACTTTCCATGCAGGTAAAGTTCCATACTGTAGCTTTAAAACCCAAGTCTGTATTTCATGACATCAGTGGGTGTTGTAATGTTTCATTTGTTACACTGTAATTGACCCAGTATTTGTTGTGTCGTGTGCAGGATGTGATCATGACTCCACTGGACCATAAAAATCTCGACAAGGATGTTCCATATTTTGCCACAGTTGTCAGGTACGTACTGTCCAACACATTATAAACTTTATCAACTACGTACTATTTCATAATATAACCCTGTCATTGTTTGAAAATCTGGTGTCACTGCTTCAACACATTTCTACATTTACCGTATTTTCTGCACTATAGGGCACTATAGGGCTCTCTGGATTATGAGTCATTGAATGGTTTATTTTCAAACTTTTTTCACATATAAACCGCACCGGACTATAAGGTGCATTAAATGAAACACAATAGTTAGATTAGTCAGTCAAACTTTATTTAACGCGTTCACAATAACTCTCAACTTTGTTCAATTGTAACGCGAAAAAAAAAAGACTGTCTGAGAAGCTAAATTGTTAGTGTGTTCACATTAACTCATAATTGTTCAGTTATAACTAAAAATAACACATTACACTCACCTTTTCAGTTCATTCCTTGTCCACAAATCCCTCATTCTTCATCTTCAGTGTCCGAGTTAAACAGTTGGGTGATTCCGGCGTCCAGCACGTCCACATCCCTCTCGTCATTATCCGAGTCAGTGTGGTTACTGTTCCCTGGCAGTTCAGTGATGATTCAGGTCTTGGTGAAAGCTCGGACCACAGTTGATACTGATCCTTAGCCCGGGCGTCCACGATCGCTCGGCGCTGTCTCTCTGTCTTGGTGAATGTGTGTTCTCCTTCTCTCATCCACTGCTCCCACACAGCTCACACTTTCACTCTGAAGGACTTGTTGACACCATCATTTAGTGGCTGAAGTTCTTTAGTTAATCCACCTGGAATGATGGCAAGCACTCAATTAGTTTGCTTCCTCCACTTCCGAACCATTGATTCATTAATGCTGAATTCTCTCGCAGCTGCTCTACTGTTTTACTGCGTGACTTGTAGCCTTGAGTTTAAAGTGGGCGTTGTGAGCGTGTCTCTTGACAGGTGCATTTTGATATTAAAAGGAATCACAGTCTGTATTACTCCTGATGCTTCTGACTACGGGAGCCGTAATGCTGCAAGTGGAGCAGCTTTGTAGTTTACTAAAGTTGTACTAAAACGCCCCAATAAATTCATATATAAGGCGCTCTGGATTATAAAGCACAGTCATTTTTTTGATATAGTGCAGAAAATACGATACTATACTTATATTTTTAAATGTAATTTCTCTCAATCTAAACACAGTATTTATTACTATAGTTCATTTATACTAACAAATTGGGATTAACTAGAATACACAGAAGTTTGTAATTACTGGGTTTATCCACATGAAATCAAAAATGGACAAAGATATTAAGCAATGTGCCACTTCTAGACACAACTGAACAACTGAGTCACTGCGAACACACCGACAATCCAGCGGTCCCAGACAGCACCCTCCCTACACGCCACAACTGAACAAAGCCCAGAGTCACTGTGAACGAACCAAACAAACAAAACCACTCACCCATCACACTGTTGTGTTTCCTTTAAAGTCCGGTGAGGTTTATTTGTGAAAAAAGTTCGAAAATAGACCATTCAGTCACAGTGCAACTTATAATCCAGAGCGCCCTATAGTGTAGTTCTATGTGCCGCAAAGTAATTCACCACCAAAACGCTAAGAGGCTAGAATATATGTCCATTCATATATACGGTCTGTGTGTATAATCGTATGCATAGACCGTATAACCTCTGAAAAGTTTAACATGAATCATCTCCAATGTGACAGAAGCACAGAACAGACTCACCATCAGCAGAACACCCCTCTGTCACAGAAAGAACACTCATATTCCACTGAGTCGTGTCCTTTAGTCCCACAGAAGCTGAACCGCATCAGCGCACAATAGCGAGCTGTTTTATTGAGCGCTTAGTTTATGCAAATGAGCCATGTGGTTTTAGGTTTTGTTTCTGTAAAAAGTAAACAAATCTGCTCAAAGCTGTGTGGATAGGGAAGACTTAGGGACACAGAAACGAGTCAGTCCTCACTCTGAGCCGCTGTGCTCGTCTTAAAATCCAGTGTTACGCTAAGTAACAACTGAACCTCGTCGTCAGTCCACGAAAAGACTGTTTTTACACTTGTCATCTCCCTCGACTCAAAATCAGCTGCTGCAACTTCAGTTTTCCTTGTTTTTACCGCTCACGTGACGTCGGGATGTTGGGACGATGTGACACCAGCCTATCATGTGACGAGTGTTTTAGGGGGTTTTACTTTTCTGTGTGGACAGGGAACGCTTTGATTACAGACATAGAAAGGATGTGTCTAGACGCAGTGTAAACGGGGTCTAAAACTCACAAGCATAATAGGTCTTCTTTAACCATAAACCAGGACAACAAATCCGGAATCTGACAGTGAAACAACAAATTCCATTGGAGCGTTCTTCCCTTTCCTCCAGCTCCATTTTAAACTATAGGGATTTTAGAATGTTGCAACGTCACGTGAACAACCTTGAGCTTGAATATTGAGTTAAATGAAAACCTGAAGAGTTGTGTGTTTTTTGCAGTACCACGGAGAACTTGGCGGTGTACATCTGGGACCACATGGTGAAGGAGCTGCCTGAGGGCCTGCTGTATGAAGTCAAGATCCATGAGACGGACAAGAACATCGTGGTCTACAGGGGGGAGTAGGCCTGAGACTCTCAACACTACCATCAATAACTGAGATCAGAAAGGAAAGGGGTGATGTTGTAGAGACGGTTTCAGTGGTGGTCATCTGGGCTGTTTCTACGATTAAGACGTTTGAGCTTCCGTCCAGAAGCTGAAGGGAGGAGGCTGGAGTTGGACTTGGAGGAGGAAATATTTGCAGTGGTTCAAGTCTGTTCCTTTATTTTAAAATGTCTTCTGGATGGGAGCAGAAACATCATGAAAAGAGTCTAGATGAAGATGAATGAATGAAGGATTACATTATTCAAAATCCAGTATTTAAAAAAATATATATTTATACCTTGCAATGGTGTCTTGAAGGGGTGTTTTTCATGTATGTCTATGGCAGAATGTTCAGCTGTTACAATGATCTTGATCACAAAAACGACTCGAGAGTCCAGACGACCACCAATGAAACCTTCTACAATGAACCGCTCCTGGACAAATGAAGGATCTTACTTGAATAATAGTTTAAAGGTGCACTACAGAACTTTACTGGTCTCACACTGGCTTGTCTTGTAGCAGCTGATTTACTTTTAATTCAAAGGTGTTTTTCTGGCTTAAAAAAAAAGTATTTGTCGCTGTGGTGGAGTTTTAGATTTAAAGCCATACTGTAGACTATTCCGGACAACTCTATGGAGACAAGCCAATGGCAGACCGCCCATCAGAAAAGTTACGTAATGCACCTTTTAAAGATTTTCCTAAAAAATCTTTGGCCATTTTTTCAGGTTTAAAGCTTCACTTCCTGGAAATTGTGACATCACTCATTGCCTTTATTTTCTTGAAATATGTTTTTTTTAATAATCAGAAAAACTTTATTTCTTGTGTAAATTAACTTTTGGATAGACATTTTTCTAATGTGCTGTCATCAATATGGTGAACTTTCTACATCCTGTAATTTTCAATATATTTTTAAACTTTTTCTAAAATTATCATTTATATTTATTAATATATCAGGTATTATGCCACCAAATTAAGTCAAAATCAGAGAATCACAAACATCTCATATGCACTTTAATGATTAAACATACCATGGATTTAGGTTAGACTATTTAAGTCAACGAGCAGGCTCGCATCTCCACAACTTCAAGGGTTGTGGGAGGGGACAGGTGAAGCTGACAATCAAAGTAGTATTTTTTGACATTTTATTAAAGAGGGGGTATTATGCAAAATTGACTCTTTAGTTTCTACCTGTGCTGTAACATTGTTCCCTCATCAAAAACATGTCTGAAGAGGTTTTATATGTCACCCATGCATGTCTGAGTAATTTTTGCGATCTCTCTCAGCTCTATTCAAACCATCTTTACGGTTTGCTGTAAGATTCTGTACAAGGCTCCGCCCACAAACCTACATCACCCATGCTCCCACACGACAGCTGCTCTTTAAAGGAATTTTTCAAAGTATAGAAGTACCACTTTTCTTTATTTTCTTGACCCTCAGTGAGTCTGATGTTGTTTAAATGAAACAAATGAATACGTAATTGTCTTTTCTACAACTGATTTCTGTGTATATGTGAATGTGCAGTATTTATACGTTTTCCAACCAAAAGCGACTCTTAAGCTGTGATGTCCATGTTTACTGCTGTCTTTTTGATACAATAAAACTGGTATCTGTGAAAAAATGTGTTTTGTTATAATAATATTGATACTTCGCAGCGAAATCATTTTGGGAGGACTGCATGTGTGTCTATGGCGGAATATTCAGCAGTTACGGGGAATAAAAATGCACAGCCCCTTAGCCTGAAAACTCACAAAAAAAAATACAAAATGGATTTAAAGAGCACATTTTCAGGAGCCTGTGATCAGTCTAGGGTTCATAGTCCTGTTTAAGAGTTTGGGCTTCAAGTGACTAACTGAAAAACTGACCAGATGTCCCTGTTTTCCCCTGGACAGTCCCAGTTTTGAGCCCTATGTCCTCTGTCCCAGCAGATTGTATCCAAAACCAGTGATTTGTCCCAGTTTTGTACAAGAAATGTCCCAGATGTCCCTATTTTGGACCAATTTGACACCTGCCAACAGTAAAGAGATACATACATTGTCATTTGTTTAGGTAAAATATGGAAAAGCTGCTTAAAAACGACCAAACCTCAAAGAAATGCAGAAAATTAATTACACACTGACATACACGTGGGGATGTCCCAGGTTTTGATGTTGAATATCTGGTCACCCTAGTTTAAGCACAAGTCAGTTCACATGTTGTAGTTCAGGTCAGTTCTTTATGGTCACTTTATGTCTAGACAAAGCAGAGGCACAGAGTTTCAGACAGAGCAGTGCCTCCAGTTAGCTGATGACATAAGCGACAAAGTATCAATTGATTGTAATGGAAATCTGTGCATGACTTTGGCAAGTGCAAGGAGATAAATGGGTTTTAATTCTTCCGTTACGCCATATGTTGCCACTAGAGGGAGCCACAACACCAAACGTCGATGTTGTTTTGTCTAGAATGTCCCTGTATGGCATTAAATATATTAATTTTGCATTTACTCAATAACAGTTTTTTTATTGACCTAAAAAGGTGCATTCTTACATTGAATGGGCCGAAGATCTGACATGTGACTTGTCCCTGTGGCGTCACCTGCTGTCTCTGTAGAGGTAAATAAGTGTAATGCCATACTGTGGAAAATTCCAAGCAATATCTCCATGGTGAGAAGCTGGTGACGGATGCTCCACCAGAAAAGCACAACTTTCATTTAAATATCAGTATCACAGTATATAGATTAAAATAGATATGCAATATTTCTATTTATTATAAACTCATCCCTTAGTGAAAATAATAATAATAATAATAATAATAATAATAATAATAATAATAATAATAATAATAATAATAATAATTTCAGTAGAATATACAATTAGATTTCCCTAAAAAATCTAGTTTAGTTCTGTCTACTTTTTACATTTTGGTGAAATGTTCTATTTTACGTCCTAGTTGGACACGGGCAGCAGATGTGACATATGTAGTGGTTTAAAAACAAAACAAAAAAAACAATGAGACATGAAAACATGAGTTGCTATGAATAAATAAAAAAAATAAATAAAAATCTGTTATGAGTCAAGAAAGTTAAATCTTATAGCCAAAAAAAAAAGTCGCCCAAAGGAAACTGTTCAATCTCTCATATATCGTGACAGTACTGACAGTAACTGTTACCTACCAACCAAAACAACTGTCTAAACTGCACAATAGTTATGATTAGACTCTTAAGACACCTTTATTAAAACATCAAACTTGTCATATGCACTTTCACTTAAAAAAAGATTTAAAACATGAATTTTTACTGGAGATCTCAGACTTGACCTGATGGCATCGCCTGCTTGTATCTTGGTGGCAAAGGTTTAACAGCTCCAATAAAATAAAATATATATATATATATATATATATATATATATATATATATATATATATATATATATATATATATATATATATATATATATATATTCAAAATATCTAAATCACGTAGCATCCCATCAGTTACTCTTTTTACTTAATCTTACTTGAGTAGTACTTTTCCCAAATACGTTTTTACTCTTACTTGAGTGATTGTTTGGACCACTACTTTGTACTTCTACTTGAGTATTATTATTTTGAAGTACAGTTACACTTCTTTGTCTCTTGTCTTCAGTGAGGTGTGAGGTGAAGCTGTGTGAGGTCTGACAGTTTAGTGTCATGTCAGTGATAAAAGCTGTGGGCGTGTGGCGAGGTGGGGGAGGGGCTTATGACCTGATAACTCCGCCCACATTCATGTAACCCTGCCCACCTGTCACCTGTGAGTGTGGAGTGAAGGAATTTTTAAAAGGAACAGCTTGTTTTAACACTCCAGAGACCTTTACTACAAAGTTGGATCACTTTCTCTTTGACCAATCAGCGACAATAATCCAGCAACTGTGAGCCAATCGAGTGGACAAAAAGAGAAAGAGGAGACATGAGGAAATCCATGAGCGATAGAACGTGTTCTTTTATAGCACTGCACAAGGATTTATAAAGAGGAACAATAGCCTTCACTTGGGTATCGTCCAGCTCCACACTCTGACCGGCCCATTTAAGTTCAATTGGAATTACAAAATAAACATATTTTATCGTTACCTCATGCATGGACTAAAGTTAAAACAGGACTAAAACAGAACTGAACCAGGACTGACTGTTGGGATGGGCCCAGAAGTGTCCCTGCGTAGACCGTCGGGAGACAGTGGGCAAAAGAACCGGTGCAGAGCTAAGCACAGCCGCTGCCCAATCGCACTTTGTGGACACTCTGCTCCATCTTTGCTGTCATCGTTGTTCACACACACCACAAGTTGGAAAAAAAAACAAAAAACATGATGAGTTATAGCAGTAAAATAAATGTTCTTACAGGTATTCAGGATTATTTTATTAATATATGCGACAAGAGTCAAAATCTAAACTACAGGGCCCTGATAGAAGGACAGAACTGTCTACGGTCCAGGTGGATTGGCCAGATTCTGTACACCATCGCAGAGGAGGTCAACACGTTGAAAGGTGTCATCAGGTTCTCGCAGGCAGTGAACTCTTACCGTAACGTGGAAATATAGAAGGACTTTGGCTAAAGTCTAAGCAACTATGGCTACAGGACCAGCACACTACTACTTCTGCTCCTTTCTTAGCAGCAAAGCACCACAGAAATGGCAGCAGTGCTTTACTTCCGCTCTACTTCCGCATTTCACTGGATTTGTCTATAGGAGTAGCAGACACTGGCACACAAGCCTACAGTAGAGCCTCTCGCGGCTTCAGCGTGAAAATTTTAATACCTAAGTTGCACCAGAGTATAAATCGCAGGACCACCCAAACCATGAAAAATGTATGGCTTACAGTCCATACAGTAAGTACAATTAATTTCACTCACAATTACTTATTACTTATTTCCTTTTCTTTTATAGGTCACTCACTGAAACACAATTTTAATCAATTAATCAATAAACAAATCACCAAAACAAATTACAAAATAAACATCAGGAGGAGGAGGGGAGGATGGAGCCTGAGATTAACATGTGGATCGGTGCAGCGTCTGCAGTGATGCAGTCGCTGTATCAGACTGTTGTAGTGAAGAGGAGCTGAGCCAAAAGGCGAAGTTCTCGATTTACCGGTCAGTCTTTGTTCCATGAACTCTGAGTAATGACCGAAAGGACGAGATCGCGGATACAAGCGCTCAAAATGAGTTTCCTCTGCAGGGTGACTGGGTGCTTAGAGATAGGAGCTCAGTCACACGGGAGGAGCTCGGAATAGAGCCACTGCTCCATGTCAAAAGGAGCCAGTTGAGGTGGCTCAAGCATCTGTTCCTCCTAGGCTCCTCCCTTGGGAGGTGTTCTGGGCATGTCCCATCAGAAGGAGGCCCCAGGGAAGACCCAGGACACACTGGAGGGACTATGTCTCTGGGCTGGCCTGGGAATGCCTCCGGGTTCCCCCGGAGGAGCTGGAGGACGTGTCTGGGATGAAGGAAGTCTGGAAGTCCCTGCTTAGACTGCAGCCCCAATGACCCGGCCCCAAATAAGACAGAAAATGGATGGATGGAGCATGTTATTTTACCTCATGCATGGACTAAAGCTGCATTGCTTTTTCGAGGTGTTTTTAATGACATTTTTTGTTCGACAGCCTCACTTTTTCATTGCTTTGTCATAACATAAACTCTTACTGGTCTGAGCAGCTCGTCAAAACAATGATATTTACTGCTTTTTATAAAAATACATACAATTAATATGATACAGAATAGAGTTCAGCATTTTGGCCTCCACAATACTTTCTGTTCCTCATGTGGCCCACCCCTGGACAAGAAGGTGTGTGTGATCCAGACTGAGGTGTGGGTGTGGCTTGGAGTCGTATAACCACACCCCTTGCCTACGCCCCGCCCCTCTCGGCTCCAGGCCCCTCCCACACATACCTTTGCAGCCCCGGAGCCCACTGCGCTGTAGACATGGGGCTGTGAGGATGGACAAGAGGGTGTGTGTGATCCAGACCGATTTCCACCAGTACAGAGGCAGGCTGGTAAGAACACACACCACAATAACATGCTCATACTTACCATTTGCACATACACATCACGCTATTGTGCTTATAAAATAGTCCACTCTGCTCTTTCACAAACACCGGCTTGTCGTTTCCATGGAGATGTTGTTGGTTTGCTTAGTTTCCACAGTGTGGCATTAAACATCTTGCATTTATTGAACTAGATGTGGCTTGTATCTTATATTATTGAGTATTGTGCTTTCCTTGTTAATTTGTATGCATTTTAATCACCAAAAATTGTATTATTTTCATTTCACTTAAGCAAATTTGAACATACTTTTGCATTATTTTTGTCTGATTCCCACCAGTAGAAGATACAAAATCCAAAGTATTGAAAAGCAGGTACTGATCGATACTAAAACTAAATACTTTCACGGAACAGAAATTAACCTTTCCACTCAGTTACATTTACTTCTGAAATTGTACTTCAAACAGAACTTTTCTAGCAACATAGTTTTGAATTTAAGTCATATTTTGATTGAAGTAACAGTACTGTACTTGAATTGTGAGTAAATGTACAAGTGACAAACGTTTTATGTTGATTTGAACATGAAGATTTTGTGCATTATTTCATGTTTTGTCATTAAAATTACATTCACTTCAAAT